TATATATATGATTGACACTGCGGACAATCTCGAAAGGGTTAAAACGATCACGAATGATAAACGGAAAATGTGAAATTCTGTAGCAAAGTAGATAAGTATATTACACTTTACAGGGGAATTTTCAATGCGCATGAACGCATGCATGCATGCATGCACGTGTGAAATTACGACTGCGACCACATGTTATCGCGCACGTTTCAGTTCGGGATAGACGTCGGCGAAATCTTTGGCTTGTCGAATTTGATGACGAACATTCGGTCGGATTGTGGCCATTTCTGCGGTCAATTTAATGACAACATTTGCACGAAACATGGTCATCAGTTCCTGTTTGACGGAAGCCGCCAATTCAGTTATGGTCGAGCCTTTGATGCCGAGCACTTGGCGCTAGAATACCGGAAAGAGGGGCAGGAACACAAGTTACTGAAAAAATCGGCAGTTGTGCTCACATTATCAGGAAGGCACGTTAGGACTGGCAGTGCCAAGAAAAACACATCTGTGTCCCTTAAACTTCTTCCAGGTACCGTCAATTCAAACAGCACTTTTAAATTTTAGAGTTTCAGGATACTCTGACCCAGAAATTCGAACGGGTTAGATTCATTTGCAGTATCACCAACAGTATCATTTACCATGGAGAAACTTGGCAAGTGTCACTGCTTAATTGGTCACACTAACAGCCTCCAAGTGCCCGGATCAGAAACGCCGTAGGTTTGATGGGTACGTAGACACAGCTGAGGAATCCTTGAACAGGCTTTTCAGTGATGAGGGATATGTTGACATTACGCACGAGGAACACATGTTCACAAGCTGAAACCAATCCGCCTTAATCGTGTTACGCAATTGAAGATGAGGTTAAATGACCTCGATTTAGACGGTCAACTTCCACGGACACGTTTAACACAGGAAAAATAAACGAAGCAGCAATTTACCATAAACGGGGAACTGGGCGAGAAGGCTGTTGTGAAATATATACATGTTTATCAAACCCACGGTTCTCGATTACATTGAAATGGGTACGCCAGTTCCGGATGAGTCACATACGCGTTGCACGAACCGCCTCACCAGTCCTGATCGCTGTCTCACCTATTCGTGTTGCAAACACGGCATCTTCCGGTGGTAGATGGTTCGGTCGTCCTCCGGATCATTACCACCGCCTAGCCATCGGGGCCCTATGTGGATCGCCACTTCAAGTTCCAGGGCTAGGTTGCCCGTTATTACTCACCTCATTGTGAATACTAACAGGATCAATTCTTAAGCGCACTCTCAATCGACAATCGTACTCACTCACGTTCGCCGCTTGAACCATATTATTGATTCTGCACATCAATTTCTGCAGTCCACTTCCCCTCTTGCTCTATTTTTTCCGCTTCTACGGATACCACGCATCTTCAGTTTCCCAATTATTCCCTTCACAATTCGTTTATTTCCAAAGCTGCTGTTTGTGGTTTCATCCATCATTCAATTGTTTCTACTTCGTTCTCTGTGTACCGTCCCCCAAATAGTAATGACCCTTCATTCTGATGTTTTATCGGCAAACATAGATAGCATTGTTGAAACAGACCCCAACGCTCAGTTCACAATTTTGGGTGATTTTAATGTCCATAACAGGGATTGGCTGTTACACTCTTCAGCGACATCGCCCCTTGGACGTGAAGCAGAATCATTTGCCCTATTAAACACTCTCCACCAACCGGTTGATTTCCCGACCCGCATCTCCGACCATGTTGACGACCACGCTCATACCCTTGACCTTGTCCTCACACCAATCCACAATCATTTTAAAATGTGTCAGCAACTCGTGCCCTGGGCTCGCCTTATTTCGCTCCCTACTCAAATTATCTGTTCCAATGTTCCTCCCAATTCTAGACGTACATTCTGGCGATATGGTTCCGCTGATTGATGCAGCTTTCGTAACTTTATGGCGTCCTAACGCTGGAATAAATGCTGCGTTCCACCGATGTCTCCATCCTGGCTTCGAATTTTTCCAAAGCTCTTTTGCAAGGTATGCACATTTTTGTTTCTCATTTCACTAAACCCGGCAAGCTTCTCTCTACAGAATGGTTCAAACATGCTTGTTGCCGCACTGCTTGTGAAAAGAAATCAGCCTTCCGCCGCTGGCGTCGGTTACCTTCCACAGGTCCCGCCGATGGTTCTTATTAGCATGTAACAAATGTACAACCATTATACAGAAGGTTAAGGAGCACTCAGTTCAGCGCAAAACAACACAATTGGCGACCGCTCCTTCTGAAAGCCGGACGTTCCGGTCACTCGCAAAGGCAGTCTCCCGTAACTTGTCCCACCAACTTAGTATCTGACCCTTTGGTAAAAGTGTTTGCTTCCAGTTCTACCTTACTCGAATCACCCACTCAACCCTCCACACACCCTAAGACAAGCCATCTTTTCACATCGCTCATTTCCACCAGAAAGATACGTCAGACCCACACAAGCCACCTGGACCCGACGGGATTCCCTCCATTGTCTTCAAAATCTGCGCCCCAGAATTGGCTCCCTCCCCCTACGTCACTTATTTTGTCTATCTCTAAATTCTGAGGTATTCCCAACCCCATGGAAAATATCAGAAATATCTCCCATCAGCAAACGCGGCGACCATTCTGACCCAAACAACTACCGCCCCATCTCTCCTACCAGTTATTTCGAAGGTCATGGAATCAGTCATTACTGATCAACTCCGCCACCACCTGGAGCGAAACAATATGCTTAGCGACCGCCAGTAAGGTTTCCGATCACATCGATCTACCGGTGATCTTCTGGCGCCCATTTCGCATACATGGTCAGCGGCACTCGACAACGACGGGAAAACTCATGCGGTGTCATTGGATATATCGTAAGCTTTCGAGCGTGTCTGGCACGCCGGTCTGCTGGCTAAATTACCCAAGTTTGGCTTTCCTTCGGAACTTGTGTCCTGCACAGCAAGCTACCTCAAGGACTGCAGCATCACCGTCAGAGTGGATAGGACCATGTCTCGTTTCGTGCCTGTGAATGCTGGTGTTCCCCAAGGTTCTGTACTTTCCCCTTCCTTTTTTCTGATGTTTACTGATGATCTTCTTTCTTCAACTTCAAACCCTATTAACGAGTTTGCCGATGACGCTACTCTACACTCTTTCTCTGTCCGATTCCTTTTCGTGCATCGCTAACTCCAGCATTAGTGACGACCGCTCTTCCCTTAGTTTCTCCCTAAATTCTGATCTCTACTTGGGGCTGTCGCAACCGTGTTCTGTCCAATGACAGTAAAAGTCCCCTTACGCCCATTTCTCCTAAACACGCATCTTTCTTCTCTTCACTAAATTTTAACTCGAGTATTCTCCGTTCCACAGAATTATGCAACCTATTGGGTCTTCTCTTGTTTTCTTATCTTTTATGCTCATCTTATATTTATCTACTTGTTTCCCACGCTGCGCGTAAAAGTCGGTTTCCTCTTCCGCGCCAGAAGTTTTTTCACCCCCATTCACCTCCTCTAGCGTTACAAAGCTCAGATTCGCCCTACACTTGAATACTGCAGTCATGTGTGGAATGGGGCTTCATTCACCTCTCTTTCGCTTCTTGCTCGGGTTCAACGTAAGGCCATCCGTCTCCTCAACGAACCGTCCCTAACATCGAACTTGCAGTCACTAGCTCACCGTAGAACAGTCGCTTCTTTATCCTTATTCTACCGATACTACTTTGGATTTTGCTCCAAGGAACTTTCCCATCTGTCGCTATCTCGCTTGTTCTTCCTCGTATATCCCGCGCACAAGCGGCAAGCTACCCATTTCAAGTGACCATCCCCAGGTGTCGCATTTCTAACTTTTAATCACCTTTTTCCCCAAGAACAGCACAACTGCGGAATAATCCCCCCTTTGGTCTTCCTTCCAACGCAAAACATCTTTGTTTTTGAACGTAGAATCAACAAGCTGGTTCTAGCTTGAATGTTCCCCAAACCTTCTCACTTACAGTATATCTTCAGATCATGGGGTTTGCCCCTTTTACCGAATTCATTTTGGTGTAATGAAAAAAAATCTTCACCATTAGATCCGCTGCTGTAGTCATTCTTATGAAGTGCGGTCAACTGAAGATACCTATCAAGTAGTAAATATCACAGCACTCAGAACACAGTGCCGATTCTGGGTTACGCAATGGTAAGCATTCAGTCCGAGTAGTTTCAGTTCCAGTTTTGGCAAACATTACCCAGACAATTGTGTGGGTCGGTTTTGGGTGCTGTTTTATGACTACTCATTTGGATGCAGGAGTAAAGATAAGATTGGAATACTCAAATCAGTGGGTGTTGGTGGTGCAGTGGTTTAGTCGCTGTCACGGCGTGCTTTGGACCCTGTGGTCAGAGGTTCGAACCCTGCCATCACGATCCAACTTTGGTGGTAGGTAGATTTGCTTCGTCGTTTTCACTACCCCACCTAAGATAGCGAGGCCTTATGTGGTTCACCACTCCAAGTCTCGGGTGTTAGGATACCGGTTTTTATCGTTAACCAGCAGGTCCTCGTGACTATGGGGTTTACCCTGTCTGTTGTTCATCACACGAAAGTGTGTAATAAAAAAGTGTCAGAGTGAAAACAGAGAATTCATGAAAAAGAATGCAATAGGGGAAAATGATAAGATGCACCAGCGTCACTGTTTACGACTCAGCCATATCACTCAGTGTTGCTAACCCCTGATTACAAAGAACCCGATATACCGATTGAAGACACCCAACATTGCCTGTGAGCAAGTTCGCTCGTCACGGTTTTCACACTCTCATGCAAGGTCTGCCTACCTCAGCAAACAACGCCTGCCGGGACAATCTATTTGGTGACATGCCCAACACGCACAATCCAACGCAGTCCAAGGGGGTCGAGCACTTGAATCGGAACAGTCTTTCTTTATCTTGTTTTCGTAATGGCCTGGGGTAAGCGCCGTATAGCATAACTGGCCGAGTTTCTGCAGCATACAATCGACCCTTTACAGACAACTGGATAGTTCGGGTGTGAGTGTTGTTCTGTTCTGTATGCGCAGAGCACCTTTAAAGTGTAAAATAGTGCTACAAGACGGGGTTGGTCCGGTACCCAGTCTCACACTAACGTGGGAAGTAATACAACAAGTGGACAAGTTTTTTCATATGGTCAGCTATATCTCACCTGGCTGACGTGTCACGGATAAAGTGTCAGTTCGCATACAAAAGGCTTGATTGGTATTTGCCACTTGAGACAACTGTGGCGTCGTCGCGACATCCGGCTGTCAGTGAACGGTCGAATATATGCTGTGGCAGTTCGACCAGTTCTGCTATAAAGTGCAGAAACCTGACCATCAAGAAAATAGGATAAAGATAGACCATCGGTGTTTGAACACTGCTGCTTACACAGCATTGCCCGAATCTGGTGGGGCGGTCGTCCGCTTGAACAACTGGTCGACCTCCGTAGATTACGCTGGTAAGGACATCGAGATCAGTGTAATCGGTGTTCGAGACACTGAGTGATATGGCTGAATGTTGCAAACAATGGCGGTCGTACATCTCAATTTCTTTGCAACCTTAGTCTATTGAAATTCTCCATTCGCTCTTCGATTCTACTTTCAACTTTCCTACTGCTTCAACCGAATTGGTAGCGACAAGACAGAAACCAAAATCAACGCACGAAAACGAATAGTTCAAAGGTGTACAAACTGAAATTCTCTGGATTCGCCTAGGCGATCGAAACGACTTGCAAAATGTAATACTAAGTCAAACCAGCAAATAACCAATAACACGAGATTGATATTAGACACAACGTCAGAAACAATAATATGTAGCGAACTGCGATAGACAACAAACACACACAACTCACCAGATGACGTTCCGATTTGCACTGAATCCGTGCGTGTACAAATACACGATCGTCTCCGTCATCCAGTCGGGCTTTTTCGCACTCGTCCACAACAATACGCAAACAGTAGGGAATCTCTTGATGCAGACGATCCAAACAATGCGCCCACACACACATCCGAACCAACTCCGAGGGTTCTTGATCAGTCACAAGCGCGGGTGAGAGGATCCAAGGTCGACCGGGGATAGCCCGTTCGAAAAGATAATCCTGTGAAATAAAAGTGAAGATAATGCTTGAACTGAATCAAATTAGGACTCGTGTGGTAATCCTAGACTACGGGACTTGGGGCTTGGGTGTAATGCAATGTGAACAACTGAATGGTCGAATTTGGGCACCAAGTCGAGGCCTTAAATGTGCCAATCGCTGTGGTCAATTCCAGTTGTTCACATTTTCTGAACATTCAATAGGTGATACAACTAGTTGGACAGTTCAATCTAGTTAGTGAGCACAACGGTTCACGTTCGCTAGGTTGTTACTGCTTGTCCAAAAATTGCCCATCGCAGTGTGTGCATTCAGCAAAACAAGAAGGCAGATAATAACAGTAATAGTGACTATTATGCTCATTTCACTTGCAATGGGTTCGAGTAATGTGGACAAGTGGATCGCAAACATGTACGCATGCACACTTGATGACTTGATTATCCAAATCCAGTTCGGCCCTTTACATAACAAAAAACACAATGAACACTATGCAGCACTGATTGTTCCATCGAGCTCATGAGGTATGAACAGATCGACAAAACTTACTCGAAGTCGGTCAACTCCATCCCCGTTCGCGGCAGACACCATGAACACCGAGCTGAACCCGGGCCAATCGGTCACACCTTGCACAGCCAAAGATACTTCTAACCATCGTTTCCGACGAGCAGCAACCTCTTCCGGTGAGGCCGAGTGTAACATCAACTGACGTTTTAGCGTGTCCAACAGTGCGTCTAAATACGGATCTTCGCGGGCAAGCATTGTGAGTTGATGAGTTTGCAACGGATCGTTCTCGTCAACTTTCAACAGATCAGTTTCCGCTGTCAGACAAGCCAGGTCCTCTTCGTTTGCAGAGTTCACCGTTTCAGAGGCCAAGTGCAGATCATGCGAAGTGTTGGACCGAGTAGGCAGTTGTACAGTAGGTTTGTAGTCCTTAAAGTAAGCATCGATCGCTTCCATTTCGACCTCAGTGACCAGACGGTCATGTTGCTCCTTCTGACAGTCAGTACCTGAGTACATGAGGTATTACAAAGCCGCGAATATGAGGAATCAATTCAAAACAAATATAATTGAATTCATGTGAAGATGACCGGCTGACTAAGGTTGTACATCACCATTACCATCATCGGACAGCGAAATATAGGGAAACGAACACCGATCTCTGCTAAAATCACGACCAGACTCAACATAGACATGGTGAGATAGCTTGCGTAGCTTCATACTCCGCAAGCTATACAGAATGGCGCCTCAGCTACAGATCCAATTATGTCTCGTAGATCAAAGGGTAGGGGCCATATGAAGCGCTTAAATACAATGTCACCTGATTGAGCATCTTCTGAATATTCACTCTCGCCCCTAGAGGTCACTTCATCGAATAAACGTGGGCAAAAGCACTTTATCGGTCAGAAAAAGTCAATAAAAGGACGTAGGAGAGGGATACTTTGGATTTCCTCCCGAAAGTGGGAGAAGTTTTCGCACTTCGTTAGACGTCCGCCGCCCGCCCAAACTATGCGGCGCTCAGCCAAAAAGCTGCTCCTCCGTCCACGTTCCACCTGTCGCATTGGGCGCATGAGGCTAAGGGCGGATCCCAAACAGCGGGCCGGCAATCAATGCATCAGCAAACAACATTCTGAACCGAAATCCAAAGACCTTGCGTGACAGGTCTCTAGGAGATCCCAAACAAGTGCTTCAGTCGCGCTCCCCTAATTGGATAAACACCTCCGTCCGTTGTGGGTCTAACATTTGAATCAACGGCTCCGATCAGGGTTCCCAAAGAAAACCCTCTTCGTCGGGTTGTGATACCACGAAGTATGTCCTACCCCAACGTCTTAGGTATGCATTTGGAAAACCTACTTTTTCATCTGTCCAGTACTTTGTCTCACTTCTAAATCTTAGGAGATGCCTCCTGTTTGCACGACCCATGGGATATCACTTCGGGTTTAACCATTGAGGTCAATCAATGAAAATATTTAATATCGCTAAAACCCAAATCTCCGTTGCACATGACTGCACTCAATTTGATCGGTCAACAAGCAGTTTTAAACTAGAACCCGTGAAATTTTTAATTTAGACGTANGCTGTCTCTTAAACACACACACACAAGACCGGACTTCAGTCTATGTCCTCCGTCCACCTGTTCCAACCTCATCCTCAAGCCTCGCTCTCCGTGTGTCAGACGAATCGGCGTCGGACGCTCGAGTTATTGCTCCTGTCGGGATTGAGCTCAGTCCCAAGGCTGAGCGTTCACTTCTCGACAGGATTCCGGTCAGTAGCCGACTCTGTGCAGCACGTCTCGGCCGGTTAGTTCAAGTCAACAGAATGAAGCGTCGGTGTTTTATCGCCGAGTCTGCATATATACCGACCGATGGCAGAGCACTGTAAATGAAGAATTAATTCGACAAGGACCTCTCTCAACTGCATCGGGATAGTCGGTCAAAGCACATCGTAGTAGCCGCTGGGGAGTTCAATGCACAAGTGGGATCCCTGGACAATTCAGAAAGGCTATTCAAATTCCGATTAAAGCAATGGTGCACAAGGAAAGCACAAACGATGAAATTCTTCGATTTCTGCTACTTTGCTGGACGCCTGCAGAACCATTAATCTAGATGTCAAATTTAACACAGTGCGCAAATCCCTTGAATACCAGTTCGCCACGAATCTGAAGAATGACCACGGCAAGTAGTGAGTAGTAAAATGTAGAGAGATGAAAAAGACTGTGACTATTAGTAAAAGTCACACTTTTCCGTCAAATTCGGAATACGGCGCAAGGAGAACAGTTGTGAGGTAAACAAAGAATCCGATGACACACTGATTTATATTCAGCAAATCTGTCTTGAACTACAGGCTGAAAATTTCGATGTTCAGTTCAACTGAATGAGTAATTTTTTTTAATGAGAAAAGATTAGCGCTATTGGTGAGCTCGTGTAGCGCGGGTGCTGTACGGAAGTGTGGGCAGTGTCGATGCGCGAGTTCTAATCCCAACGGGGCCAGTGAACGTTTGACAGGATGGCGGGGGGGAGAGACAAGAAACGATCTGGTTCCTGTAGATAGAATACTGTTGATCCGACAGGAACCAAAGTCGAGTCATGTCATGAGAAATGGTGACTTAACCTAAAGAAATTTATGCATGTGTGGAAAAGTAAAATGGTCAATATGCGCGTTTGGCTTCTCCAGCGTTCAAGTTCATGTTCAATCGTTTAAAGAACTGTGTGGTTTTCTTTGATGATATTTCTCTGGGGTCGATAAAATCGTGGTTCGAACTTGAGAGGTGAGAGATTTAAGTGATTCAATGGAGAAACGGGAGGTATTTCAGATACACCAAAGCATCAGGCGAGTGATAGAACGTTTTGAGGAGCTTTTCAGGTGTACATCGGTATACACCACAAGGGCTATGTGCCGATACATCCGTGACTAATTTTTCAGGATGTGGTCTGTAAAAAATATCGGGTGCGAAGAGCGAAAGCTCTAATTTTAATCGTTGGGAGTTTTCATTCAGCATTCTTCCCTTTTGTTAAACTTTGTCCGTGAATGCCAAAGATCGTTGCTCGGTAACCATCTCGAACTAGTGACCAAACGAACAGGTTCACTACTACTCTCTTAAAGACTGGACAAAGGTGTAGTCCTCTGTCTTCATAACTGAATAATGTTGCTCACTTGGTGGCAGGGTACTTGAGAAAAACGACACGGGTCAATCGTTTTGATGCAATCACCGCGACAGTGATGCCGGAAGCATCTGGTTCGATCAACACAGGAAAGATAAAGCTCACATTGGCTAGTGTGACGTTTTGAAGTTCAGTCTGCGGTGATTCAAAAGCGCATAATTCGGGAAGAGTAAGGTTAAATGATAAACCAATGGATAAATACGATTTGAAAATCGATATATAGGGAAAACAAATACAGATCAACTTAGAAACGCCACGCAGGAGATGCAGTTTTTTAAAATCAAGGTGTTGAATTCGTGCGGACTATACTCTTGCTTCCATTTGGAGGTTAAGACGACAGTTGACCGCTTTCTCGGAAGCTTGTCATATTTTTTTCATGTTCTTACTCTGTGCCCACATTCAGTATAATATTGTCCACGTAAGCAGAGAGATTTTTTTGGTTGTACATTCAGCATGATGCGATTCTTTGAAAGCATTTTTCTCCACTAGCTGCAACAAAAGGAACTCACCGTTATCCAGATACGGTTCTACAAGTCTTTCTATCTCGTGTAGGTATCTGGTGATAACCAATTCCGAATTCGTAAGTGCTAAAAATGCTATATTGGGCCACTTTACTAATCACAATATCGATTCTTTGCGATGGATAAGCGTCTGGGTGTGAACGATCAATGGTGTGACTGTAGTCAACAATCATTCGAATTTTTATGCCTATGATTAGTGATCACGGAACTTGCGCTCGCCAAGTGAACAAAGATAGCTCAATGAGTTCTTCTATTAATGCGTTCGGGATCCACAGCATGGTCCAGAGTGGGTGTCATGACTTGTAGTTGGTCACCCTTCTCTTGTTGCGAGCGTTCAAAACTGACCCTGATAAAAAAGCCCCACACACAGTCTTCTCGTGGCAGAGGCGTTTTCCCCCACCCAAATGAGAGGACTAAAATTCAATATCCGGTCGGTGAGCCACTGTCATTTCACCAAGGGAAGCTGGCCGAAAACCCTGATTCAAAACCAACCAAGAAGAGACGTGCGAACCCCACCCACCTTGGTTGTGGCAATGATCATCGACTCGACTGGTCAGGAAGATAAGTTGGACACCTTGAACATTTGACCCTGCCCGAGGGGGCAGTCGTGACTTGTTTGGTACATAGTCTGGACTCGGACGCGCGTGAAATATAAGATATAAAAATACGTTGGAGCGGTGGATTTATGCACGCATGTTCTCTGACGACCCTGGTCGACATGTGACCATTGACAAGCGAACCCTCATTATTCGGATTCGAATCACGTGATTGCAATGAGTCGGCTGTTGTGTTGACCAACATGCCAAAGTGACATAAACATTTAGAAAACAACGTAGCGAACAAAGCTTGTTTTCGACAACTGCCTCTTCCGGCTAATACAGTTATATATAGGGTTGAAAATTATCAAATTAGTGTAATGTTCAGATGTGATGAATATGATTGGTGGATTGTGATCTTGTGATATGTGGTTTGGAAATGAAAGAGGAGAGTTGTTTTGCTATTGTTGTTGTTGTTGTTCTTGTTCTTGTGTGGTTCGGAAATGGTCACCGTCGATGGATAGAGTGAGCTGTTCCATTTCCGGTCTGAGCCCATGGGTCATGACAAAGGTCACGATCGTTTCGGTCACCTGTGTCAGATTGCGGCCCGGGGTAAGCAAAGTGACTGGACGAACCGCGTTTGGGAACAAAGGGCTAGAATGAGAAGGCGAATAGCCACCGCCTCGGCTGTAGCAAGGTGCCGTTGACGTGCAACTTTAGATGGGTTCGGTGGTACTTCGTAAATCACTTCGTTTGCTGATGACCCGAGTCTGCAATGTGTTCTACCACTGCACTTGTAATCGTTTTCCTCATCTCCGTACGCCGGCTTGTGCTCCTTAATTCTTTGCGACAATTGTCTGATCGTTCCATCCGCATAACTCTGGACCCGTGTGCGCGCATTAATTTGTAACACAATTTGTAGAGATTAGACGATGATTCATTTAAAACTACTGATCACCTCAAACTCGGGTACTCTAGTGAAAAAGAATGTTTCAGTTGATCTGGATAATAAAGATGTTGGTCTAGAGGGTAGACACAAAGTTGAAAAGATTAGAGAACTTACAACCGGACATCAAGGGCTCCTCTGGAACATGCTTATCCGGCTCAGGGAACAGCTCAACTGAAGTGTCCTGTTCCGACGTATCCCGAATCAATCGGATCTGATCGTCCGGTTGGGCGGTGGGCGGATTGAGACGAGCACAGATCTCGGTCAGTCGAATGAGAAACTTGTTAGCTTCCGCGTGACATACCGGTGGTAGATAGGTCGCGAT